TCATTAAAGAGCAAAATGTTCCATGTTAAAAGTTAACATTAGTCCTAGAGAGTGTTGTTGGAACAATGAAAGGTGAAGGTATAACTCACTCAAAGAAAAAAGAAAAAAAAGCATGAAAGAAGCCAAGAGGTCAAGCAAAAGGATTAAGGGAAAGAAGAAAAAGATACAAGTTGTCTCAATTATCTCGGGTGGTATTCTGACTTGTTACCATTCTCTTCCAGAATCACCTTTTAACAAAAATCCCGCGAAGGCCCAACAATTATTTATGACCAAATTGGAATGGTATAAAAAATTCTTGTAGATACCATTCTGATGATCTCAGTCACACTACAGAGAATTGTGGGATCATAAAGCAAAAGGTTCAAAATCTTATCACAGAATGATTACTATGCTTCAAAAATGGGAAACTTGTATTCCCCAAAAGCTCAACATTAATTGAGGAAACTAAATTGGTATAAAAGAAAAGGGACTAGACTTTCGTAAACCAGTCCCTTGATCTTTTACAAATTGCTAATTATTCCCCACAGGTAATTAACTCGCAAACTCATTTTTTGATTTCGTAGACTAAAACTGATATTTTAGTAATAATGAAATTTTATTAAATTATACAATTTTATGTGGTCTAATATCACTTTAAAAATGATTTGTGACAACTCTCATTTTTACAATATTTTCAAAATCTATCGTCGGCCCAAAAAGTCGTTATCACATGAATCTTACATATGAGTATTTTCTTTACTAATATAGTTATTGAACAAACCCTATCCGAATTAGGGGTGCTTAATGAGTTGAGTAGCTCGTGAGTAGTTCGAACTCGACTCGGTCAAAGCTCAGTAAAAATTCGATTCGGGTTGACTCGACTCTAGACCTTAATGAGTAGAGTCGAGCAAAGTTCAACTCGACTCAATAAGTTCGTGAGCAACTAATTAATTCATTTTACATAACTTTTAGTAGTTATGTTAGAAAATTATTTCATTCAAAATATTATTAATTTACTAGTAATAAATAATAATAAAAGATGATAAATTGCTAATCTATTAATTTTTTTAATAAACAAAAAAAACTAAATTATTAATTAATATTTTACTATACCTAAAAATCAAACCCTATTTATTATTTTAATATATTTGTGGGTTGTCACTTTAGAGTTTAGACTTTGAAATTGCTTCATACATCCTTTTGATATTTTTTGATTAAATTTATTAATTTATGTTTATATTAAGCTACATATAGTAAGAGTAAATTTTACCTATAGTTAAGAAAATAAAATAAAATTCCGGTGAACTTAACGAGAAACAAGGCAAACAATGAGCATCGAATTTAACGAACAACGAGGAGCGATAAGTTCTTTTTAACAAGTATGAGTAGAGAAAAATTTTAACAAAATTAACGAATAACGAGTTAAATAATGAAATTTTTTAACCACATTGTGAAAGTAGCTATGAGGAGCAAAAACTTTTTCTTAAGAAAAAGAGACAAGTTGCGTATCGTGGTAACATCCAACGTTGTCACTTCCATTAATAAAATACATGTTTCTGATATATGCTTAAATCACTAGAATTACGAGGTAGGCATTAAAAATGTCAAAAGATATATTAATTACAAACCAACTTGGAGAAGGAAATGGAAACTCAACATTCAATTAATTACTATCTCGGTGCCCAAATTCTCGTGCCAATCAAAAGGTTTTTATTTATTAACTTCTCTATTATATTTAAGCTATTTTTTATTAAAACAAAAGCACCTTAAGATTAAGTGATTGGATAGCCCGCTATTATCATTATTTGAAGTTTAACCTTTGGATGAAGATTTTTGGGCAATCAAAATAAGTGCCAGCTACTATTTAGATAGTTAACCCTCATATTTTACAGTTATCTTTAAGTTATTTCAAATTCCAAATAAATAATAAATAATTTGTATTAAAAATATTTTGATATATTTATTTGATACATTAATCATGTAAAATCTATTTTATATAATTCAATTATTTGCATCTTAGATTTTAAGATTTACAACTCTAAAATTTAAATTCTATATTTAAGTTTTAAATTTCAAATTCTAAATAAAACAACGATATAACAATAAACTTTAAGGGTTTGTTTGTTTCCTTGTAATTGATTTTTCAGAAAATATTTTCCTCATTTTTCTGTGTTTAGTAGGCGGAAAACAAAAGGTCAATGTAATTCATTTTCTTGGTCAACTGAATTTCTTTTGTATTTTTTGAAAATTGACTTACTATCTGATTTTCCGTAAGTCATTTTATGAATTTTTCACTTCAAAGTAGAAACACTCAAGACATTATTATTTTATATTTAATATTAATGTATTATTATAGTATTATTTTAATAAAATATTAATTATAAAATTATATTTATTGATAATTTTAATAATATAATATTATATTTTATTGTTATAATTATATTATTATAATATGTAATATTTTTTAATAATATATAATAAATTATTATTATAATTAATATTATTTATTAATTTCATAAAAATAATAATTACTGAATTGAATATTTAATATATTCCTTAAAATATAATATAATATTCTTATTTTAATATTATAATTTTTAATATTTGAATAATATTATTATTTAATAAATAATTAATATAATTAATAATTTATTATTATTTTTAATAAATAATTAATATAATTTATAATAATTTTGTTACAAGAAAATATAATAATCATAATATTTTTTATTTACAAAATTATAGATATAATATTTTAATAATAATATTGACATAAATGATATTAAATAAATTTGTAAATATTTTCAGAAAATGAATTACACAACATCATCCAAACATCGTAAAATAATTTCTATAAATTATTTTTCAAGAAATGTAATTCATTTTACGGAATTTATTTTTCAAAATATGTTTTCAATAAAACAAACAGACCCTAAATAGGAAAAAATAATCTAAGTAGGACAAATGATACAAACAATGTAAAATAAATGATACAAAAAATGTAATATATTAAAAAAAAATCTTGTTTGTTTTCGTAGGAAATTTTAGGTCTGACAACTGTCGTTATAATGCCAAAATAAATTTCTTCTTCCCAATAGAATATAAAAAATTCGCAGTAAAGAGAAGTAAATGTCGATCCTCAGTTACTTAGAAAAATTCCTAAATTTCTATTTGAATTGATTAAACCAGGCGGTATGTAGAAAAGAGAATGGGGGTTTTGAATTAAAATGCTTGAATAAGGAAAAATAATTTAAAGCGAAAATTAAGAAAGAAAACAAAGAATTGAAAAATAATTATAGTAAAAAGCAGCCTCAAGCCTCCTTTTGACTCAATTCGTTTCTGATCATTGAAATTGGATTTTCACTACAAGGCATTATCCATGTATCTTGCTTTTCACTTTGGTAACTGATTTTCCAAAAGCCAATCTTTGGAAATCCAACTTTTAATTGAACAAACTAAGACAATTGTCGTTAGTGAAAAAACAATTTTAGTTTTAGAAAAGCCTGACTCGAATTTTGTTCTCTCTCTGAGAATCAAACTCGATCTCAGTGTCCCTCAGCGGACCACCGCTAAGTGTGCTCACAAGAAGTCGGATTTGTTATTCGTCGATCTTTCCTCCCAACTTTAAATCATAACAACATTCAAATAAATGTTGACTTTTTGATTTGAAAGTGCTTTGATTTTAAAAGGATAGGTTGATTATCTATCCAAGTTTTTTCAGAAAACTGAGAATGACATCCTGAAGATGTTAAGTTCTTTTCAGTTTTCACATATTGAATTGTGTTATCGCTTAGCCTTTCGGCTTATGAGAAAATTAACTAAGCATGAAAAAAGTCATACTTAGCATGTTTAAAAATAAAACTTAAAATAAAAACGAAAACTTTGAAAATAAAGAAAATAAGAACTTTATAAAACCAAAAAAAGAGAAGAGAGTGAAATCTGAATGTATGTTTCGGCTTAACCTAAAAGGGTATTTATAGCCTTTCAAAATTCTAAAAACAATGAAAGATAATTCCTAAAAAAATAAGAGATATATCCTAAAAATAATTTTAAATGTTTTTTAAATTCAAACTCTAATAAATTTCCCAAGATATCACTGTCCGTCCACCTCTCAGAATGTATTGACTAAATCTTCTAGAAAACTGTTGTTGACTGGATCTTCCAGAAATTGCCACGTCAGACTGTGTCATGCCCAGATTCGTGCCCATGTCTCCAGTCGTAACCAAATAATATAAAAAAAATACAAAATGTGCCTTTTTAATGCTAATTCTGGAAAAATAATATCTTGCACGAAAATAAATACAATACAACCAAATCAATAGTAATAAATCCACAAGATCGAAGAATTAACGAGAAAATATTATTAGTTAAGAACACTCATCATGGCTTGTTTTGGACTTTGAAAAATAACAAATATATTAAAGAATCCGTATGATCGTCAGTCCTTGCTAGAATTCTTCAGTGAACCACAATGGCGCTTTTCTTCATCATCAACTCACAACCATAGAAACCGATTAAGCAGACGAAGAGCATATCAAGACATTTGGGCTACAAACCAATAATCAATATGATATAAAAGTTTAAAGAAAGTATTATTTTCCTCCAAATCTTGAATTCGAATAATTACGTTTACAGAATGTGTATATTGTCATTAATTAGGATAATACTAATCTCGTAATCTTTAAAAAAATGGCGAGAGGGCACAAAAAAGGGTGGTGATGCCACAAAACAGAGGTAAGGAGCATCACTGCCTTTTCTTTCCACCCATTTTCAACCATAACTCAGAGCAATGAAGCTTATACAATCGGAAAAAATATATATATAAATGCATCTATGACGCTGCCAATATGGCAACAGAAAATGATCAGACAACATATGATACAATACCTCAGTGTAAATTACATTATAATAATAATAATACATGAAAAGGGATTATACAACATAAGAGAATCCATCCAGCTTTGAGTAAACGAATAAGAAACCAGAATCATAATAATCATGATCATCGTCATTTATACCCAGGATCAAAAACGAGATACAACTGCCAATTTCACAACATGATGGCGCAGCATTAGGCTTATAGCTAAACTTCAACACAAAATAATAGCCATGGCTGCAGCTCTACCAGGATAACACCAAGCTCAGTGGTCTTAAGGGAAATCACGATGGGAAGAAATGTGTAGGACACTTTAAAAACGCATGTGGACTGAAGACTGCATCTCAAAATTATGGTTGAGAAAGCTCCTAAATTTGAATTGACGTTTTTGCTAAGCTTGCTTCAAGTTCATCTAATTCATCCATGTCTAGTTCATCGTCATCATCATCATCATCGGGAAGAGCTTCGGCATCAACAGCAGTTGTTGCTGAAGCATTTGGTCCAGCAGCAGCAGCTGAATTATTGGCCTGAACATAAACGTGCAAAACAATAAATATTCAGCATCTAGTCTAGTACATCACCCATCAATACGCCAAAGGCATATTAGTGTTAAAAGCATAACATTCAATGCATGCGTTCCAATTCTATCCATGAACCAATCATATTTATGAGTTTTTTCCCATAATATCAGTCACTTAAAAAAAGGTGGGGAGGCAAAAGTTTTCCTTAAAGGTGACAGCAAACAAGAAGATGTGCAAGATATGACCACGATCAGGGAGATGCTCTTTATCAACCCAGCTCGGAGGATCAAGCCAGGGCAAGGTTAGGAAACATAAAAATCCCCAGTAGCAGGGACAGTTTTAAGCTGTTTGAAGATTGGTATATTTAAAAAAGACAAAAAAACTTTCTACTAGTCTTTACTCTAATTTCCTCGGACCAAGTTTTCATGTTAGCTTTGCGTAACTTTCATTGTAAAAAATATGTGGAGTGGAGGCATGATTCTGTGGAAAATGATACACGATTAAAATGTAATGTGGTTTCAATATTGTACTTCGTAACTTAGCAGCATCTGAGGCAGCATAATACTAGTTTTCATATTTTCCTTCTTAAATAAGTGAACAACAATTTACGTTGCTTAAAATTAGGAAAATCTTATTAAGTCTATTAATAGTATTTCCCAGAGTGATTAATGAAGCTCACAGGTGCTTCAAGGAACATTTTTTTTATCAGAATTGGAGGCCTCGTTAAAAACCTCCTTCATAATCATCAACATACTAAAACGTATGTCAACGAATATTGAAAGGAAGAAAAGAGTACCTCATGATTTATTAAATAATATAACCATTACACCTTGTATGAAAACACCCCAATAAGATACATACACCACATCAAAACCATCAAATCTCTAAGTCCCCCTTAAACATCCAAATATTACAAGGTCAACCCTATTCGAAACCCTCTCATACCTATCCCAAGCCCCACATCACTAAAAACCAAAATATTCGAAAGCAGTACATTAATCTTTAAAGATAAAAACACAACCGACTCCTAACGGAACACTCCAATCAATAAAAACTCCTTCCAAAACCGCTATTAGACTTAAACCCAATATTCGTCCGAGACAGTTAAGCCACTTCATCCTTTTACTTTCTACTTTTAGATTCACGATGTTTTTTTTCTTTCCGCACTTTGATCCCTTTTGAAGACTCTTCCCCTGCAACCGATTAGAATCACCTATTGCTCCACTATTGAGACCGTCTTCCTAGGCATGAGATACCTCAACGTTTTGATATGATTGATTGAGGGCACAAGGTAATGAAGACTCCAAAACTGAACATGGCCTTGAAGCTAAACACATCTCACCACCATTGTTTCCACCGCTAGTAACAACTTATTTCCCAATATGATTCAACAAGTTTTCCAACAATCCAAGTGTTGAGGAACCCGGTGTAGCCTCAGGGGAGCATTGACCATTGTGTGGAGCTTCAATTTGAGTATTAGAGATGGCCAATGTAGCCATGGTCGACATTTGATTTTTAGATTCTTCGTTGTCTTGGGCAATCGTGTCTTCTTCCTATTCCTCGAGAACCCAAGGAATAGGCTTGAAACTCGGATCGATCTCGCGAACCAGGACGTCAAACGATTGATCTTCAACCTTCAATCGTACTACCTCATCAATTCTAGAGATGATACTTGAGAAGATTTGGATTTTAACCCGATCAAAGGACGATGGATATTGGGACTTTTCATCGATTGCAATAATTTTCCCCCACTTTGATGCAATGTTTGTAAAGGTATCACAGCTCCAAGCATGAAAAGGAATACCTTTGCAAACCAACCATATACGCCGACTCTCAGCTATCAAGTTTTTTTACTATGATTCAATCCTGTCGAACCACACTGCCAGAGACTCCGAATTTTCTACCTTCATTCTATTCAGTAACATCGAAGATTCAAAACACATTAGGACAACATTTTCAATAGTTCTCATCAATGAAAAACCCTCAAGACCTTTTTCATGCATTTGTCTTGCGAGGTTCGAGATGGAGACAAAATTCCTACACCAACACACCAACACACAAGGCAATTTTCCAGAACACTTAATTTATCTTCATCAACCACCCCTTCTATCGAGGATATGTAACTCTTCTTCTCAGCTACCTCCCTATCCTTCCACTGAAAGGATGTATTAGTTCTTCTCCATAAGGATTGCCTGGGCTTATATTTTGCCATCGAAACTCTAATCTTGCGTCCAAAAATGAAAGAGCCATCCATCCTAACAACTGCTTTCTTGGCTTCAAGGAACATATGAAAAATGCCAAGCAAAAGAGTACCTTATTTTCAGGAGCATCTGATTCTTCCTCCCTTTGGTATTTCTCATATGCCTCAGCATCATCCACAAATAAACTAGCATCTGACAGAAATAGTTCACGACCGCTGCACAAACCCCAAAAAAAAAAAAAGCATTCAATTGTCAATAAAGAAAACAGATGCCTATGTTACTTGGAGTGTTCAGTACGGGTATTTACCCGACACAAGTATGGTTAGCTTTTTCTAAATATTTTTCCACATATTTGGAGGATCTTTGGAGGTCATATACCCATATCCATTTGGGCAAAGGTACCTCAAGAAGAATGAGTAGTCAGAGAAACATATGCATAAACTTTTTATTTATAAATGCTCGTGACGGAAAACATGCCATGAAGTGTCATACCTCATACGGTCATTCTTAGCCCTTTCTGCTCTCTGTGCAGCCAAACCTTCATCTCTTTCTGCTATCTTCTTCTTCTTCCATTCCATAAATAATTCAGGGGTCATAGTAGTTGAAGTTTTTAATTTGGCACGCTACAGACAAAGCTGCAGAATGTTAAGGTAGTTTAAATACCAATGAAAATAAAGTAAAACCCATGTTAGAAGGATGGAGTAATAGCACATTGATTCCAGCAAATCTAAGTATTACCTGAGATATATATACGTTAATAACAATAATATATGTAAATAACTATTACAAAATGAAAATTATGAGGTATATATGTAAATTATTGTAAAGAGTAATTAAAAGATATATATGTAAACTATTGTAAATTACATATACGTTAACCATGTCAAAGCACAATAGAGATATATATATACGATAATAACAATAATATACCATATACGTTAATCATAGCAGAGCATAATAGAGATATATATGTAAATTATTGTAAAGAGTAATTAAAAGATATATATAAAGAGTAATAAGTTTGCTACAGCTGCTATGAAAAGTTATGTTTAGATTGATAAACTCAATAATTTAAATGTCTCTTTTCAATAATTTAAATCTCTAATTTGGTGCTTCTGTCAATGAAGTGTTTGATATAAACTATGTAGTTTTCATCTTGCATTTCTTTTCTGCTTCTAGCAATAAGTTGAAAGGTTTCTCAATATTTATTTCATAGGTGGCTCAAGAGACATTATCCTTAATGAAAACTGTTCATATTTATGGAGCAGAGAAGCAAGAAATGAAAAGGTTAAATATTCTACTTTTTTTTGGTCTGATTGTTATTGCTTTTTGATCTTTTTCTGGATAAACTGGCTGAAATAAGCTTACGACAAAGTATTGCTTATGGAATTTGAAATCTAAGCTTCAACACTCTATACCATGCAACTCAGGTTTGAGACCCATGGCTATGTCCTTGCTAACAAGGAAGTATAATCTTGTAAATGAAGCTTGATTATCTAAACAAAGATTAACTTGATTATAAAAAAAATAAACTAAACAGAATTATTTTAATTCAAATCTAAACAAAGATTATCTAAAATGCTTAAGAGATTTGCTAATTCAAATTGGACAAATTGCAAACCTAATACATGTCGAGAAAACTTGAAAAGATTAAGTTGGTAATTGAAGAGATTTACATGTCGAGAAAACTGGTGAGGGTAATTGAAGAGTGAAGACGAACGAGGCAACACGGTAGTCGGGTAACGATCAAAGTAAGAAAGTGAGACTGAGAGAGATGCAAAACTGGAGAAAATTAGGGATTTAGATTTGGGGAAGCTTAAAACACGGGATAGTATTTGTTTATTAGTAAAATAATATAAAAATAAAAAAGAAGTCGGGTACCCGTTAAAAGAGATTTTTTGACCAGGGTCGACTTAGAAACCCAAAGAAGCAGCTGACCGAGTACCCGACCCTTAAATTCAGATATTTTTATTATAAATACCCTGTAATTTTGAATCAGATAATCGGGTTAAATCATTCGGATCAAATATTTTTGAACACCCCTATGTATAATTATATATAACCATTTCATGTATAATTCATACCCTGCCATTACAAGTTGCTGATAAAAATTATCTTTAAGACTGTATATATGTAAGAGAATGACCATCAAGAAAAGAACAACAATTGTTGAAGTGTGAAAGATTTGAGTGCTGATTTGCTGAGTTTTTTTTTTTATCCGGCTCATTTGGTGCATTTTCTCAGCATACTCATTGTCTAGACGGTATTTCGTCTGGCGAAAACAAATGTCGTTATTTTTTAAATCATGTCTTAAAAAAGTAAGTATTTTTCTTCTGGCATAAGATAAAACATAATTTTGAGGAGTCGCCACCAATCATTTAATCGATGTGTGATTGGTCACTAAAAATGTTGTTATTTTAATAAAATTTATAAAAGTAATATTAAAATAACACAAAAAGGGTCTACTTACCAGAAAATGAGTCCGGGAGTCGGTTACTTGTGGGGAATGATTAGCACCCCATAACGCCCAAAATAAATTTGTAATTAATTTCAATTTATAATCCCATAAAAAATTAAGAATATTATTTTATACCAACAAACCATTTAAAATACTTTCTTAATAAGTTAAGGAAATATTTTATGACTTATTGTATAAAATAAAATAACCATATTACATATAATAATTTTAATGATTTAATCAAAAAAATATAAAAATTAAGGTTACTATTATAACACTTAATATGCAAAGTACTATAGTTGTAAATAATCCTCTAATAATATGAAAATATTAAAAATATTAAAATTAAAGGATTAAATTAAAAAATAATAAAAAAGGTAGTCTTAATTCGAAATAATATAAAATATAAGTACTAACAGTGTAATTAATCCTAATTACTATTTAGATTAAAATATAATTTATTAAAATTATAAGGACTAATATGAATATTTACCTTAAATATATATAAATATACGGGTAGTAACTAAAATAAAAATAAATAAAATGCGAAGACAAAATTAAAAGATATAGAAACCCGATTTCGGTGACTATTATGGAAGATTACAGAAAACAGAGACCACAGACGTGATTTATCAATCCTGAAATTACACAGACACTCCCTCCCCAAAACGATGTAGTTTTGAGGAGGGTATAAATAGGCCTTAAATGCCCATTTTCCATTATTTTCATCTTTTGCTTCTCTCTCCTTAGAGAGAGAAGCTCTCCCTTCTCTCTAAACTCCCTCACCGGTAACTATTCCGACAACCGCCGGTCACTATTTACTACCGCCGGTTACTATTTTGGTCACTATTTGTGGTCGGAAAAATCAAAATAGCTCAAAACGTAGATCTATTAACCCTCTACCCGAATCTGAGATTTTTTCCCTAAAAATTTTCAAAACGGCCTAGATCTAAGATTTTACCTTCGATAAAACAACTTTTCCGACGACGTTTGGGCTTTGACGAAGGTAAGATCTCCTCTCATTTCTTCTCTTTTCGTTTTGTTTGCTGCTCTTTTTCCCGCTCTTCCTTCCGTGTTTTTGTTGTTGTCCTCCCTCATTTTTTTTTACTTTGCAGGATTGACTTTTTATAGGCCTCGGAAGGCCTTGGACCACCGTTCATTTTGGTGAGTCACCAGATCTACTATGGTGACTCACCATAGGGCGAGGTGTGCGGCTCTCCTGTGGTTTCTGGAGTCTTCTGGTGAGATCTGATGGTGACAGCGGCGGTGGTGAGGTGTCATTGGAGGAGGAGGCGTCGTGGCAGTCACCGGTTGGGGCACCTGGAGGCGACAACTGTAATAGCTTTAGGGCTGGTGAACCCTAAAATTTTTCCTATATTAGATCTGGAAAACGGGCCTCTGTATTTGTAAACGGGCCTCCAGGATTGGGCCTTTATTTTTATTGTATTATTTGTAATAATAATATAATTATTATAATAATAATAGTATAAAAATACAGGACGAAAATGACTGTCGACAGCTACCCCTCTTTGCTCATTTTTTTGTTAACAAGAATAGAGCAAAGATAAAAAGACAAGGAATTTTTGTCCAGTTGCTTTCATGTTTTGATGGGAAATTCGTTCCACTACTCTTCCGTGGAGATCGAACTTTAATTTGTTCTTGTTTCACTACTCTTCCATGAAGGATATGATGGCTTTGCTTCACTACTCTTCAGTGAAGGCTAAGATGGATTTGCTTCACTACTCTTCCGTGGAGGCTAAGATGGCTTTGCTTCACTACTCTTCCGTGGAGGCTAAGATGGCTTTGCTTCACTACTCTTCCGTGGAGGCTAAAATGGCTTTGCTTCACTACTCTTCCGTGGAGGCTAAGACTGCTTTGCTTCATTACTCTTCCGTGAAGGCTAAGATTGATTTGCTTCACTACTCTTCCGTGGAGGCTAAGATTGCTTTGCTTCACTACTCTTCCGTGAAGGCTAAGATTGCTTTGCTTCCCCACTCTTCCGTGGAGGCTAAGATGGCTTTGCTTCACTACTCTTCCGTGGAGGCTAAGATGGCTTTGCTTCACTACTCTTCCGTGGAGGCTAAGATAGCTTTGCTTCACTACTCTTTCGTGGAGGCTAAGATGCCTTTGCTTCACTACTCTTCCGTGGAGGCTAAGATGGATTTGCTTCACTACTCTTGGAAGCTAAGATGGCTTTGCTTCACTACTCTTCCGTGGAGGCTAAGATGGCTTTGCTTCACTACTCTTCCGTGGAGGCTAAGATTGAAATAAAAAGAATATGTTCCACTACTCTTCTGTGAAGATCAGACTCGAGGTTGATTTGCTTCCACTACTCTTCTGTGAAGACCAAATCTGACCTAATTTACTTCATTGCTATTCATGAATATCAAATTAAAAATATTGATTTCTCTTTAAGAGAAAATCAAATATTAGTTCCTCAGGGGAGTTAGAAATAATAAAGGTTGACTTCTCTTCACGAGGAAGTCAAAATTTGACTCTACTGGGGAGTCAAGAATAATAAAGGTTGAATTCTCTTCACGAGGAAGTCAAAGATTGACTCTAATGAGGAGTCAGAAATAATAAAGGTTGACTTCTCTTCACGAGGAAGTCAAAAATTGATTCTAGGAAACAAGATTAAGTTTCCTAAAAAAACATGTTCCCATAAAGCCACGATTATAATTCTAGGGAAACTATCAAAAGAAAAACAAAATTACTCCAAGCATAAAAATGTATCATGTATGTATGAAATGATGTATGATGCAATGACATGTATTATGCAAGTTTTTTTGTGTGAAGGGATGACTTCAAAGGCGATCTTCATTAACGTGCACTCTTGCAAGTTTTGAGCTGTGTTAATTCCTTCTTGCCCCAGCAAGTCCTTGTCTCTGATAAGGTTGGCTTTCTTTACCTGAACTTGTGTAGAAATCCAATAAAGCTCTTATCTTTGAAATGGGAATGTATCATCGTTGAAGAATGTAGATGTAACTATTCCAAACTCGGTAAATACCAATGAGATATCAACGACCATTCTGATTTGAATCTCATGATCCCCACGAGGTCCAACTTTGATAATGTCCCATTGTGGGTACTTGTGGTTCTCTTGGTGCCCAAAATCTCTTAATCTTGAATGCTCTCATTCCAGTGTTACTAAACAGTAGTGTTGTTAAGTAACTTGAAAGATTCTCTTCATGTTGTCACAAACTTAAGAAGTGATCAATCATTCTGACAGAAATATCTGAGATATGTGTCTTTTGAATGAGGTAATTATCTTCTTCTTGACGGGTCGCTTTGTAGTCTTTTTTCTATGCACTGAGATATATGCCCCTTTTGAATAGGGTAATCCTTCTTGATGGGTTACTGATAATATCACTAGAGAGTATTACAAATTCAATTATCTAGTCTTTCGGACCACTTATTTTAAAAAATGTGAAATGCTTCATCATTTTGGAATTGCTCATTCTTTTTCTACAATAAAGGTAGAATAGGCATCAACTTACTTCAAGATTTTTCATTTGAGACTATCCTGTTTGAAAATGTTTTTCCTCCTTTCTTTATCAAAGAATGAAAGAATTTTGTAAAAAATTGCCCTTTATAGGTTCACAATTGAATCAAATCATTAAAACATGAATTCAAAGAATATCGAAAGAATCAATAACTTTTACCATTTCAGAGCTATAGTTCTTTGACAAGTATTAAGATTGAGAGTTTAGTTTTAGGTTGGTTTCCCTATTTTCTATGGTTACATCTCAGTGAAGATGTCACTCCTCTCTCACTCTTTTGTGAACATTTTCACATACCTCATTTTCTTGACTTGATATCTTTAACCGAATGCGTTCAAAATGACACAATCTAGTATAACAATTACTAGACCTTCTAAATACTTCAATTTCAATTCTCTGAAATCTTTGATTCTATTCAAAGCAGTGTGAAAACATTGATCTAATACGAGATTTATGTGTGCATATGTGTGAAATATACTATAACAGTTATTATTTCATTTTCTTTACAACAACTTCTTTTGGCTAGCTGAATTCAGCTTTATTGACATTAGCCTACATTGGGATAGCTGAAGGGTTTATCTTATCACAAAGTCTTCGACTTGACAATCACAGTGGAGCAAACACCGAATCGTCAGGTACCCGAACAATGCTATATTTTGAACATAAACTATTCATAAAGCCGGGGCTTTTGAGTTTCCTCTAGAACCAATTGCCTTAGTGGAATAGCTCAACTTTTATTGAATATATGACTCTTACTTTTACAGAGAACCTGTTATAGTCTACGTGTTAGGTGAAAGTCAGAAAATCTCATTACCAAATTTCAATTCACCAGCAGCTAACTTTAGACTAGAT